TAGCTTCGAGTGCAAAGGGTTAATTATTTTATTAAGTTGACACAATAGTATTTCTGAACTCCTTAAATGTTCTCGTTGTTTTGTATTTGATCTATTCGTTATCGTCACAAGTGCATAAAATCCGCAGTCTAGTAATGAGATATAAAATGAAAAAAAGAAAAACGTAATTTGCTAGATCTCGTAGACAAAGTGGAAACGGACATATATTTATGCTAAAATAAAGAGGAATTGTTTTGCATAATAAATCTAAAAATTGCAGTGATTCCTAAGCGATTTGCTACGTTACTTTCGACCTCAGTCTTCGCTATTGCAATTCAATCGGGCCCGTTAAAATCGACGCTGCACGAACAAACTTAATCAAACTTTCGTCTTCGACTTGCCAACCATCGAATCTCTACTGGCTAGCTTTCGTCATTTCGTGTCCATTTCCGTGCAGTTGCGAAAGGCATCCGACGTGCAATTAGATTGATCCTCTTTAAACGAGCTAGGACTGCCGACCCAAAGAATCCACGGGACGGGTAGCGAATACGCGAATCGGCCGACCAACTACAAATCCGGTTCGTGGGAACAGGACCAAAAATTCCACCGATGACGGTCGGGACCGAAGCAATTTAACTTTCGCGTGCGTTGGTGCCCGAAAGCGAGCCTCGGCTGACGTTGCCCGAACCTTTTGATAGGAACGTCTGTACCTACGGCCGGGCCGGGCCGGGCCGGACGGGAAAAAAGATGCTTTCATCGTGGTTTTATCACCGACTGACTGCTAACGGAATACATTACTTCCTGAACCAGTGCCCGGTTGCCGGCACAGAAATTCACCAGGCGTCACGGAGATACAGCCCGTCCAAATAATTCGTTCACGATGAAATATCGATATACAATAAATTCTCCCTAATTGACGCTCAGCCTGGAAACGAAAATGAATAATTTGGGAAGAGGAGATGTAATTGTTCGAGCTTCGCGGCATATTTGTACAGTTGCCCATTGTCAATAACAGTGGAAACCAGTCGCAAAGCTCGAATAATTGTATTTCATCTTTCTAAATTTTCTGTTTTTGTTTCTAAGCTGAACTGGAATATGGAATATTATAATATATATATATGGAATATTATAATATATATATGGAATATTATAATATATATATATGGAATATTATAATATATATATGGAATATTATAATATATATAATATGGTTAATAGGTCGGAATAAACCATACAACACAGAATACACCATAGGTCAGAATAAAAATCGATACACCAACGCATTTTTTACATTTCCTCACGATGGCTCACAGATAAAAAATTTTAAAGAACAAGAATTCTTAATTTTTTGTCGTCATTCCAAGTAATAGCAAAATAAAAAAAAAGATACTTTAGTCGTCGTCTTCTATTATTTAAAAGAATTTCAAGTCATTCATCCCAGTTTTAAGAAAATTATTGTGTATTGAAAGATGCCTGAATAGATTTGTTCGGTATTATGTATTCACTGTTTGGCTAAACAATGGGAAATCAGTATTTTCTCGAAAAGTAATTTCGTATTTCAGATATATATATATATATATATATAAATAATAAATAAACCACCAAATTAAAGAATAATTCCACGTAATCCGGAGATGAAGTTCATTCTAGCAATACGATACAGAAATGAAAACCAATAAAGCTGTGGCACGAAGCACTCCAAAAAGAGCGCAGTACTCAAATTTCATTACGTGAATGCTGAAATTCGATTCTACTCGACGACGTGCACTAAACTCGTGTAATCTGTTTAATCGTTTCGAGCTGAAAAAATCGATTTCACTCATTGACATCTGTTTCATGTATATTCCGTTGATTGGCAAATGACAATCACGCAGTTTAGAATCCATTTACACGTTAACCCTTAAATGCATATTGTTGCCAATTGTCTGCATTTCAGTTCCACTTAATTTTATTCAAAAACCTGAGTATGCGCGTTTCCGAACACACGTTGATAACAATAGACGATAGACCATGTGTGAAATAAAAGACATGACATTGCCTTTGGCGAGTAAGTTGTATGTTTTTTGACATTCGAATGCGGTGGGTGATAGCTTCCAGGTTGCAAAGGATTTTCACGGACCGAGTGCATCGAATGCAAGGTTGCTTCGTGTCGCAACAAAAATCGCAATCGCTTTGCCGCATTTCATTTATAAATAATGTGAAAATTCCTATACTAATAGATAATATAAATACGTGACCATTTGTTTACGTCTACAATAATTTTAGTAATAAACGCATATCGTTGCCAAAAGTCTACATACAACTTTTTTTCAAAATAAATACTCAATATTATTACCTAGATTCTTTTATTTATTTTTTACGTAACCTATGACTACATTCCTATAAAAAACGATTTTTTAAAATTCAAAACAAAAAATCATGCATTTAAGGGTTAATACCCAATCACAAATCTTTGATCCGTGTTAGCGCGAAACAAAAATCTGTTTGTAATAACGAAAATGGTGTACAGTACGATTTGAACACCTTTTTAAGAAATATATTGAATAAAACAATTTTAAATTACCGATGGAAAGAACCGATACGTTACACGTAAAATATCGAATATTTACGAGCTCTGAAATCATAATAATTCCAATAATTTGGTAAAAACTGATAAGATTAAATTAATTGAATGTTTTATCGGGGAAAATCGTAACGTTTGAAAATGAACTGAAATATGTTGCATCGGTTTTGCGTTTCATAAGCGTCCGATAAATGCGTTCGCTGCCAAAACATAATACTTATTTATAAAATGTTTTATTCTTAAACGATACATCGTAAAAACACCGGGAAAAATCGCCGATATGAATATATAACTCGTTTACTTCGGCATATGGAATCTTCACTGATATGAATGAACAAACAGACAGAATTTAATTCGAATGAATGACCAACGAGTGGACCAACAATCGCTGTACCTTATGGCGTAGATACAGTAGTCACTTGCGTTCGATTTATGTCTCCATTCGTACGTGGTTATTTAAATTTCTCACGTAATGAGGAGCATAATGTGCTGTATCTTGTCCGTTCCCCTCGTCGCGCGCGCGGCACGCGCGCGTTCGTTTAAAGTATCGGTGAAAACGAGTCAACGATTTATGGAGGCTGACGGTCGCGCTTTAACATCTTTATTTCACTGGCATTCCCGGCGAAATTTATTGGCGGCCCATTCATTTTTCCGTGTCTCCCGCAGCGACAAAATGCCCTCGTTAATCGAGAGGCTTACGTCAATTACGCTAATGAGTGCCGCGAACGAGCACCGCGGACGGGCAAGAATATTACCCGCTAAAATAACGCTCGCACGATTTAGGATACAACGTATCGTTTCGATGACTTTCAGGCACTCGGCCGCGCTTTTCATCGATTACTTCACTTTTTTAGTGTTTCCGAAAATACTTTTAGCGACTGTTTCAATCGATATGAAACAAATTCTTGGATAACAATTATCATCTTGTTGCCGATGTCTTTAACACGTTCCGTGCCACGTGTACCATCGATGGTACACGCTTGCATGTTTACTTAGTGAACTGAACAAATTGTTTACAAGAAATTTAGAACCGAAGAATCAATTTCCACCGCAAGAATGGGCGTTGATAAGTTTTTGTTACGTTGTTATGTGTACGAGAATTAATAATTGCACGTAATACATCAAGTTTTAGTAAAATATCAAAGCGTGAAGATTCGAGTAAAAGAAGCTCGGCACGGAACGTGTTAAGTTAATCGTAACAGTTGTGTGTTGCGAATAAACGAAATTATAATGAAATTATAGTTTGTAAATCGGCAATCAATTGTTATTGAAATTGTTATTAAACAAATGCAAGGTTCTCTTCTTCTTCAAATCAAATTAAGGTAATTAATTAAGGTAATTAACACTTTATGTAATAGCAGTTTCATAATAACGATATTTTAATATCAAAACACGACAGTTAAAAATTTCATTTAAAAAGTGATAGAATCCGACAGCAATTTAATTCAGACTCGAGACAAAGTATTTCGTCTCTTATTAATTAAGACAGATACGACTGACTGGTTTCCGATTTTTCTCGTACAGCTCTCGAAATCATAAAAATATTTCCATGAAAAATTTTGTCGTAGAGACTTCTTTATTCGAGCGAATATTATTATTGAAATCGTGCGAAGTTCGATTAAATCTAATCAATAAATATATATCATTATAATATTGTTATTATGTATCTAAATAATGTATAAATATATATTAGTTACATTTAGAGTTCAGTAGGTTTAGCGTTGGAAAAGAATGATCGAGTTTCTTTTATACACAGCTCAGTCATCGGAGAGCCTATTAACAGACTTCCGGTAAATAAAGTGTTATGTCGGCGTGCGAATCATTTTAGTCTCGTTTAATGTTATAATTATTGTGATTACGTGAGCGGCTGATGGAAACAACGGCGAAACGACGAACGCGGTGAAAATATTGAATATCGCGATTCAAAAATGACTGGAAAGTGGACTTAAAAAGACTGAAAAAGTTCTTCGCGTATCAATTTCTTAGAAGAAGAAAAAACAATTTATATTTATTGCGTATCTACATTTGCACGGATATTTAAATATCGACGACGAAAAATGAGAAATTGAATTCCGTTTCGCACGAACGGAACAACGTTCGTACTTAACGCATTGTTACCAGAAATCCCCATCACGAGTCAGACTCGTCAAAGAACGGCAAGGGATTAACACGTTCCATGCCGAGCTTTTTTTACTCGAATCTTCACACTTTGATATTTTACTAAAACTTGATGTATTACGTGCAATTATTAATTCTCGTACACATAACAACGTAACAAAAACTTATCAACGCCCATTCTTGCGGTGGAAATTGATTCTTCGGTTCTAAATTTCTTGTAAACAATTTGTTCGGTTCACTAAGTAAACATGCAAGCGTGTACCATGGATGGTACACGTGGCACGGAACGTGTTAATAATCATGGTCTACTACCGTTGCGGTCTATGCGTATACAACTTACCACTCTTTGGACTATCTGTGGGGCCGGAGCGCTGCCGCAAACCTGAAACAAGGAATTCACTGTTTCATTTCAAAGAATCATAAAACGGAGAAAAAAATGATTATCTCCGCCGGACAAGGTACAGAGACGCAATCAAAACTTTCGAATTTTGTACAGCGGAGTTTTGTAGCTCCTCGAAGGCCATCCGACTTTTCCGGATCCTCCCGCCCGCCACCCTTCCCTCGATCCCGGTTTCGCCGCCGCGCCTAATGCAACGGAGGAATTAATTTCCCGAAATGCTGAAAAATTTTCCGGAAAACTTGGCGAGCACTCGGAGAACTGTACTCGATCGATCCTCGCGCAAGCTGATACGAAACCTTACCGTTTTAACGAATCTCAGTTTTTTTAAAATAATTAGTACGAGCCCGTAAAAAAGAGGATCGTTCTTGTCGACGATTTAACTGAAGTGGATCCCCCCCACCCCCATCGAATAGAGGGAGAGTTAGAGCGGAAAATAGGTCGATGAGAAAGTCTTTAAATATGCCCCAAGTCTGCTACTAATTGGATTTGCGACAATGCTGCGAAACAGTTTCTCATTTCGGTACGACTAGCTTTCATTAAACGCTACAAAACAGTACGTACGAGTTCAAATAATGAATTTAAGAGACGAATCAGTCTTTTCAATTTTTATCACTTCGGAAGGACCGATGTTCGTTTTAATTAAAGGACAAGCAGAAACCAAGACTTCGGAAATATAAATAGAAGAGATTCAACGAAGTAAAGTAATCCGTGCGTCGCGAGATAGGAGAGGAGGCAAAGGATAGAGGAAATGAATAAAGAATGAAGAACCAAGCCCGGGCAACGAACAGGAAGAGCAGATGAAAAGGGGAAATTAAAGCAACTTACGAGAGAAATCAGGCAAATGGTATACTGCAATTATACTGTATTATATAGCTTGAGTATAATATAGCACTCGAAAATATTGTAGAACAGCAATTCTTGGATAATCAATAAATTCAAAGATACAGGTTATTTATTAGGCCCTAATCAAAGGATTCGTACAAAGTTTGCTTAATTAATATTAATGCGAAACCGGGGCGCGAGGACAGCTCGAACATCTTCAATTAATTGCTGGTTCTGGTGGAAAATGACACCTTTAAGATTGACCAATTCTGGTCGCTTTTCCTTGACCGCTGCATTCAATTTGTCCGGTTGCTAACATTCACGGATAATAAAAAATAACATAATAATAATAATAATAATTTTATAATATAACATTTACGGATATCATAAAAATGGGAGTGAGAGACATCTATAACCGAAATCGGCGATTACTTAGTTGCCAACCCAATAGAACAGCAATTCTTGGATAATCAATAAATTCAAAGATATAGGTTATTTATTAGGCCCTAGTCAATGGATTCGTACAACGTTTGCTTAATATCAATGCGAAACCAGGGTGCGAGAACAGCTCGAACATCTTCAATTAATTCGAGCTTGCTGACGCAAGGATCTTATCTCGAAAGTTCAGTGGCTTTACGTAAAGCACCCTCAACAATGCCGATTTATAAATATACTTTATTAAAAAAACAATAATCTCAATTTTTTTCTAACATAATAATAACATAATAATAACATAATAATAATAATAATAATAATAATAATAATTTTATAATATAACATTTACGGATATCATAAAAATGGGAGTGAGAGACATCAATAACTGAATTCGCAATTACTTAATTGCCAACTCAATATATTTGACAAGTATTTTCTTTGAGAAGGTGAAAATAGCCTCCGTTATAGGAATGAACAGAAATTATGTTTCAGTGAAGATGAATTGCTTGTGTATTTTCCAATCGAAAATTCATTTTTGTAAGCTACGTTCAGAACAAATTATTCATCTAAACAATATGCTACTGTCACGTCACTAACATCATTATACGCTTAACCATTTGCACTGTAATAACGAGTCAGACTCGTGACCATGGTAGCCAGAAAAATAAGCTAGATTCTAAGCCGAGGGAGTGGGGGCAAGGAACGAGACGCGCAGCTGTTTGCGCCTGCTATTCATTACACTTCCCCCACCCCATATTCATTACGCACCGCGTCACGTTACGTACCCCCACTTCTTCGACTTGAAATCTAACTTATTTCTTTGGCTATCATGCTCGTGACGAAGTTTTCGTAACATAATCAACGAACTATGAATATTATTTATTTCCTTTAACTCGAAGGAAAGCTTAATTTTTCCGTCATTCCAATCTAAGACGGAAAGAAATGAGAACATACACTCGCCCAGGGAAGTATGTTGAGAGCTTTCGAAACGAAATAACCTTTTTTGAAATTAACGTCAAAAAGTAATGTCAACTCTTTTCTTTCACACACGGTCTATCGTCTATTGTTATCAACGTGTGTGTCGGAAACGCGCATACTCAGGTTTTCGAATAAAATTAAGTGAAACTGGAACGTAAACAATTGGCAACAATACGCATTTAACCCTTTCGCTCCGAACGACGGATATATCCGTCATCCATATGAACACTCGCGGAGCCGAACGCCGGATATATCCGACATGCTGGTAAAATCGCGACCTAATTTTTGGACTGCACCGCCTCTTGTTACTATTGCGTGAATCTTTTGACGAAACAAACAAACGACAGTCCGAAATAAACGACACACCATTCAAGTTATATTTGTTCTACCTGCATTTCCCATTATTATTGTGTTACATGTCATAAAGGGATAGAAAATCGAAAGTACTAACTTTAGGACTAATTATTATGTATTATGTTTTGTATTATGAATATTATGTTTTATTTTATTACTGTATATTATATATTATTTCTTCACTTTTTCCATTGTTAATGAAACTTTTTTTACCTATTAAATAACTTTATACCTTATGCAGAAATTATAACTATATTGTTTTAAAGAAAAATCCCTTTTCTTCCCAAATACACTATCCACGCGCAATGTGCACAATTTCGGCGGGTGGTTCCGTTCAGGAGGGGCGCTACGACGGACTGAACTGCCGTAGCGAAAGGGTTAAGGGTGAAACGTTAGACGCCGAAAAAACCGAGAATATTCACGTGTTTAAACAACGTCAGACAACTGACTGCGCAAGCCAGGCGCAAAATTGTTGTACTGTAAACGCGATTGTTCTCGCGTAGGCGTAGCCCATAGTCAATTTGTTAGTTTCGACCTCGGTCTCCCCTACCAGTTCGAACATTCGAGCGTTCGATACGGCGCGAAGTTCGACCATTGAATTTTTTGCAGTTGCAGCAGAAGTGCACAGTGTACTATACGTAACTGCAGCGTCGCGCTGGAAAGCCAGCCGCCCTATATAGGTACATAGGGATCGTTGCAACGAATTTGCCAATTACACCGGCGATACCGGGGACCTTCAGACGGCACGTCTCGCGCAATAACCGAGTCGACGATCAAGCAAAATCCGCGCGGCGGACTCAGCAGAAAGGAATCGTAAAAAATCGCGTTTCCACCGGGTAGGTAGGTCGGGCGGCGAGCTGTTCCAGCTGACTTTTCTCACTCGAATCCACGGTGTTTCTCGTTCGTCGAACATAAACGGTAAAGTTAACGTACTTACAGCCCTATCGGCCGGAGAGATCCCCATCGTGTGCGCCGGTTTTATATCTTCGCCATCCCCGGCGAGCCCGCATCCCAGCGCCCAGAGCTCCCGCGCGGCCCAGCCTCCTCGCGCGCCGCTCGTCGCCGGCCGTATAAGCGGCCCGTAACTTTCGCATTCAAACTTTATCTACGGTACTTTTTGAGCACAACGTCAACTTTACACCCCCGCATACCAGCCCGCCGTGCTCGCTGAATTACAAATCGGACGCGGCGCGGCGTGCACGGGGATAAAAGCTGCGCGAGGGGGGGACCGATCGGGGGGACCGCCGGCAACCAAACTGAAACGGAAGAAAGCGAAAAGAAAGCGGGAGAGGAAAAGTGGGAAGAAAGGAGGAAGGAAGCGAAGAAGAAGAAAAAGAAAAGAAGGGACCGCCGCGGCGGGGAGGATAGGAACGAGGGTATATCAATCTCGTTTCTTGGCTCCGCGATGCCAGGACGCATCGAGTTCGAAAACTTTCGCTTCGCCGTTCGTTCGGTTCACTGGCTTTTTCGAAGTGGTATAGAAAGCAAATCCTGATTCGGGGGTGCACGCGTTTTCACCGCTCGTCTGTGCTATCCGCGCGGCGATGCGGATGCGGCGGTGCATCGAAAAATCAGGGAAACAGCTTTCCGTGCGCCAGTTTGTTTAGCGAGATGACCCGGTGACGGACACGGGCGTTCGACCATTGCGAGGAAAGTTTCGAACGCTTCGAGTGCCGCAATTCGCAGAATTGTTAAAGTATTGTTGTGCAATAACATATATTCGATGTAATTACTTTCGTTAACCCTTAAATGCATATTGTTGCCAACTGTCTGCATTTCAGTTCCACTGAATTTTATTCGAAAACCCGAGTATGCGCGTTTCCGGACACACGTTGATAACAATAGACGATAGATCGTGTGTGAAATAAAAGACTTGACGTTACTTTTGGCGAGTAAGTTATATGTTTTTTGACATTCGAATGCGGTGGGTGATAGCTTGCGGTGAGTGCATCGAATGCAAGGTTGCTTTGTGTCGCAACAAAAATCGCAATCGCTTTGCTGCATTTCGTTTATAAATAATGTGAAAATTCCTATACTAATAGATAATATAAATACGTGACCATTTGTTTACGTCTACAATAATTTTAGTAATAAACGCGTATCGTTGCCAAAAGTCTGCGTACAACTTTTTTTCAAAATAAATACTCAATATTATTACCTAGATTTTTTTATTTATTTTTCACGTAACCTATATATGACTACATTCCTATAAAGAACGATTTTTTAAAGTTCAAAACAAAAAATCATGCATTCAAGGGTTGATTATATATTTAAGCTATTTCGAAGGATAAAAGAAGCAGTCCGACCATTTGCAACAATTATCTTTTCTCCACCCGTTAAAAATGAAAAAACTGGCAAGAAATGCAATGAGCAGACGCGTAAATGTAAAACAT